GGTAGACTTGAAGTATTCCAGAGAAAAGTATACAGGTGGTACCTTGCAATGTGACCCTGATCCATTGTCAAACTACGGTCAAATTGTGAATCAATCAAATTTATGAGACACTCAATGAAAATCAAAAATATATGTACAAAATGCAAAAAAGTGGCCAAAACAGGTCAAATTGCATGGCAAGGGTTTAATTGCAAGTCAACCTCCCTGATGCAAATTTGACTGTCAATTTGTGGAATGGTCAAATTGCAGGAGGTTGAATTGCAAGGTACCACAGCTGTAATAAACAAAGGGTTTACTACATAACTAAGTAATTTTGAGCAATAATAGATACTGTAGTAGCTTGGAAAAATTATGTCAAAACACAGTGAGTGCCATTTATTGATTTTTGCATTGTGACAGATTCATTTTTATCCTGTGGTGGAGTTGGTATCACTTAGTTGGTATTATTTTTATTAAATTATTTTTCAAATGCAGGGAAATTTGGTTTGACCAAAGATTTTGGACTAAAAGAGACAATGTTCTGAAGGAGTATAGCTCAAGTTTTAAATGTTCCAGGAGGACTACATTTCATTGTTTTCAAAATGGCAATCTTCTGGTAGAAATGCCGACAAAATGCCTCCCCCTCATGAGGATTTCTTTTTCAGCCAAAAATATGCTGAATTAATGAAAAAAAATCCGACTTTCCCCAGATTTCAGGTTTTGAACAGTCTCGGGTTTTAAATTTCTTTTCTTGAAGAATCCTTTCATTATTATATTAAAATACTTTTGAAGGGTCTCCTATAATGAGGACCCGGCTGCATAATGGCTGATTTTTTTTTAAAACTGATTCTCACGTTCTTTTGTCAAATTCGGCCCGAAAGCACCACTAAAACTGGGCGGCATAATCGTATACCGACCCTTCCAGAGAATATTAGAATGGCGGCAGCAGAAATTCTTTGCTCTGTTTACAGGATTGCAATTCTCATGCATGACGGAGTAATTCAGGAATGCACCATGTAATACTCAGCTTTCAAAAAATGCTAGGTTGAACAGCCCTGTGCCATTTTTTGACATTCGTACGTGAAAAATGAATAAATTTTAAAGAATGTAGATTTTCCACGTTTTTCCACGGACTCGATATACTGGATTAAAATGTCACCTGACATCACTGATGGAATATACATAGTACCTGTACAAACTGCAGGAAGGGCGCCTGATCTTTTGAGTGGAGAGCAAAACTTCGCAAGACATTAAAAAAATTGTCAAATAGGGCTGATTTTTTGTTGTGCCAAAGAATATGTTTTCTTTTTAAAATCTTTTTTTTTCAGCTCGATTATACGCCATTTATATTTATATTCCGAGAACTTTTGTTGGAACCCTCGTATTTTCNGAATTCCATCTATGCTGGAGATAATTTTTTTAAAATTAGCTAAACAGATGGTAAATTGGTGAGAGAAATATGCCCAAGAACTTTTCTTGCATCAATTTTAGGGTTGGAAATATCTGTTTCTTGTAATTTGGCCTGAAACTTATTTACAATTCTATCCAAAAAATGTCCCTATGTTGAGTCAGCGTCTTCATGTTTTGCCTTTTTTTCAATTTGTTTATGGGAGAACAAGTGTCCCTATGTCAAATTGTCTGCATGTTGAGGTGTCCGCATTTGGTAAATTTGTGAGAGAAATATGCCCAAGAACGTTTCTTGCATCAATTTTAGGTTTGGAAATATCTGTTTCTTGTAATTTGGCCTGAAACTTATTTGCAATTCCATCAAAAAATGTCCCTACATTGAGTCAGTGTCTTCATGTTTGGCCTTTTTTTCAATTTTTTTATGGGAGAACAAGTGTCCCTATGTCAAATTGTCTGCATGTTGAGGTGTCCACAACTGTATTGCATCACAGGAGTTAATTTTTGAGACTGACATTGATTTTTCTTCTCCCCCCCCCTCCCCCTGGTTTCAAGGGAATGCTTTTAAAAAATGCCGGAATCTGGGTGTCCTCAGCACAGGGTGCGAAGTGGGTGAGCGGGCGGGCAGGAAATTGAGCGCTGCCCTTATCGCACCGCCTGCACCCGCAATATCGTCAGGCAGCACCCCGGCATCCTGTCATTATGCATTCCGCCGCCAAAATGCCGCCGAAGAGGCAACGTTGAACGGCGGCGGTGGGCTCAGCGCGAACACTTGACTCCCGTCTCGGTTTATTAATTCGGGAACTCACGATTTTTGGGCAAAGCGGGCGTGTTACTGATACGACTGCAAGAAATGTTCAGCTTTATTTCAGTGGCACAGTGCTGGTGAATGTGATCAATATCAGACTAGGATATAGGCCAGAGATCTCTTTTTTTCATTTACAGTGAGACCCCCACATGCGGACACCTCGACCTGTCATGGGGAATAATGACCCCGTGTCTTTGGCTGGATCGCATCCAATGCTACAGTAATTGAAAATTTTATGCATAAGAAAGTTGAAAACGTGGCGGAGTTTCTAATCCCTTTTGACTTCAATAATAATCATTCCATTGAATATTCAAATAAAGTGCATGATTGGAAAAATTCAAAAATAATTTCACGGTCTGCTAAATTGCATCATGAAGTCAACCATCATTTCATGGCTGTTCTGAAAATTTAAAGAAAATTTGAAGTTTTAAGACTTCACAAAGATCTAAAAAGGGAAAATTTCAAAATAATATGACGTAGCATTACTGCCTGTGATATCAATTCGGCCTGAGGAAATCGTACAATCTTATAAGATCAAGCTATTGAAGAAAATCTTATTACAATTTTGAGATTGGTACAAGATCTGCTACGATAATTGGTGCTCTGAGCTTCTGGGAAATTTTAAAAAGTTACTCAACTTATTCTGTAGACGGTTACGCAATTCTTCAAATGCGTAAGTCCAATTAATGGAATGAGTTGCTCAAAGGGAAATCAACCGGTTCAATCTGAAAATTTTGAGGTTGATTTCCCTTCGAGCAACTCATTCCGCCTCTATGCCATCCTTAAAACAGCTTATGATACCAGCCCATACACAATTCACTTTTGGACAGACTCCGCTGTTGTCCTCAACTGGATCCAGAATTCCAAATCCAAACCTACAAAATACGTAACCACGCAAACGCAAAAAATCCTACAACATTCCCAACTGTCCCAGTGGAAACACCTCCCCAGTGAGGACAATCCCGCAGACCTTGCATTGCGTGGCTGCACCGTCCACACTCTAAAAGACGCCACCCTCTGGTGGAACGGACCGTCCTGGCTTTCACACGCACCCTCATGGCCACAACAACCAATATCAACGAAAACCTTAACTTCAGCTTGGGGGCAATCCTCCAAAAAGGAACAATATCTAAAAGAACGTTCCATAGTACTTGGACTCTTCAAAACCACTGACACCTGGACCAACGTAACATGCATCATTGCAGGCCTACACCAAATCCAACAACGTGCCAAAAACCTGAAAATCACATCCAAATTTACCAAATGTAACCCCAAAGGAAAAACTTTACAAACAACCACACAACCATTTAAACCTGAAGAAATTGAAATTGCACACCTTGAAGGTATCCACACAATGCAAAAGTATTACAATCACAAAAAATGGCGTCTCTTACAATCCGGACAACTTATCAAAAACAGGCCCGACCTTTGCTGCGATCCCAACAAGAAACTCATCACATCTATCAGCCGACAAGCATTGGACACTAATACAACAATTCCTGAAACTCACCAAGCCCAAAGACTCCTCATCCACCTTCCTGTTCCTAAAAACAACCAAACTTCAACACTGCTACATGCCTTCATACGCAGCCAACATCTCAAACACAAACATGGATCAACCATGCTACTCCCACAAGAAATCACCAAAGAATACTGGTTACAGGGGGGCAAATGCATCATACGCCACATCATAAAAGAATGTCACTGGTGCAAACGCTTCAACAACCCATCTTTTACACAAAACACCGCCCCTCTACCAGAATTCCAATACACCGGACACCGACCATTCAAAACAGTCAGCATTGATTTTGCTGGACCCTTCAATTCACCAACAGAGAAAAATATCTCCATCTGAGTATTCACCTGTCCACTAACACGCGCTGTTCATTTAGAACCTGTTGACACCTTAGACCTCAAATCCTTTATGGGAGCTTACCACAGCTTCTGCAACCGCCGAGATCTCCAGCCATGCAACATTGTCTCCAACAATGCTGCCACCTTTTGAGCAGCTTGGCTGCGCTTCCTCTGCGCCAATGAACAGGAACTAATAGACAAATTCACAACAAAACGAGTCAAATGGCACTTCAATGCCGCACGTGCCCCCTTGTAGGGCGGATTTTATGAACGCATTATGGGCATGATTAAGAACCACCTAGCCCATTCATTCCAAGGAATCCCCTTCTCTAACCCCAACACAGTCAATGCCACAATTACCTTTGTCAAACGCATTATTAACTCACGACCATTAACATATCTACCCTCTGACCAAAACGATCCAATCGCCATTACACCCTCCATGTTCATCAACTCACCTCAAGCCGATTACACCTCAGATCCGGACTTTGATCCCTACTGCTACGGCTCAAACCCAATCCAGTTCCTTGAATACACCGCATGCTACAGCATTACCAGACAAACACAATTTTGTATTGCCATCATCCGAGCCCTATGGAAAACATTTTTTGACGGTTATATCACAATGCTTTGCCAATTTGCCTCCACAAAACAACCCAAACATCTGGAACACTTAGAACCTCTTGAAGGCCAAATTGTCCTCTTAAACCAAAAAGCATTCAAAAAAGACACACCTATGGGCCGCCTCAAATGGAAGTTATGCCGCATCGTCCACGTTCACCAAAGCAAACAAGATGGAAAAATCTGAGCAGTTGATGTCCTCACATCCCTCCGCTACAACCACGATGGCACATCCACTCCTCACATCCTGACAAACCAATCCATACAAAATCTCATTCCATTAGAAATTCCAGACCAAACCCCAACAGACTCAAACAACAAGATCAACTCCAAAACTGCTTCAAACGATTCTCTTTGCCAACTGTAAACAAAATGAACAAACACCCGTATTGCAAGTACCAAAACTCATCCTTTCAAAAAAAATGCCTCAACAAAATATTGATCACCGACCCTGTACATCTCCTCCTCCAACCTCTCAACAAACATATCTCAACAAAATGCCAACGACCACCCCCAACCTCCCATCCGAATCTCTATACATCAGATACCTGCAATACGCATTACAACCGAGATCATCAACCAATCAAACAACTCCTACACCACCCTTTTTGCCTCCCAAACTTTGTTGTCCAATACCAGCTGTCAACCACCAAGTCCAACGACCCAATATGACTTCTGGTGCACAACAGCCACCACCTTTTCCACACCTGTTGCCTTTACTATCACCACATCTCCTGGGATAAATTGACCATCCTTCCCACGCTGGCGAGTAACAGAGACCACCAAATCTGTAGCAAACGTCTCGTCATACCCACCATCCAACTGTGACTCACATCTGCAAAATACATTCTATCAACACCTCCAGCTCCAAAAAATACAACTTCAAACTCACTTATCAAACAGGTTCGCCTTAATACCCTTTCCTCCAAACTCCACCTTTCCCACAGCATCAAAAAGACACGGACGATAACATTGGCGAACAAAATGACGGTGGTTTGAATTTGGCGGCTTGCCTTCCACTGCCGTCCCATCATCCTTCCACATCGGTCCTTGTCCAGGACACAGCAAAGTCTCCCTCAAAGGATCACCTGCCATTATTGTCACCGCAAACAAAATTGCCGCTGCATCATCCCTTGCAAACCAAATGAAGGCATGAGGATTGATATGCCCAAATGACAAAAAAGAGGAGTATGAAACCTTCACGTATCTCGTCAGATAGCTCAACAGAGTAGGCAAAGCCCACCATCCAGGGCAAGTATCCCTCTTTCCAATAATGCCACCAACGTTGTTCTCCAACATCTTTGCCAACACCCTCTGACACATATTCGCTGCCTCCAATCTGGACTCCATTGACACGGCAGATCCATCTTCCTCCATAAAAGGAAACACAGGATTCCCACACCAATCCCATCAAAATTTTTTCCTGCCTCCTTCCCACTTCCCTGGAGGAGAAGTGCCCTATGCAAAAACTGGACACTTGAAAACCTCTGCCAGCTTCGCAAAATACACCCTCATCGCAGCATACAATTCTGTCATTGTTGCATATTTTGCCCCACACCTCAGGTTACACATATGCTTGATATCATTTGTTCCTACACAAACGCACAGCTGCGTAAATTGGAAATCATTGTGCAGGCGCAAATCTTGATACACTCAACAACGCACGTCTTCAGGCATCCACTGGCTTTTTGAAGATCCAACAACTGCGCTTAATCCGCTTACACCATACTGCAAACACAAAAGATCATCAATTGACAACATATAACACCTTTTTTTTCTCCACCAACCTGATACACCTCGTATGGCATCCCCTCTGTCAAGTGCCAAAAATCATACGCTGGTGGAACATCCTCCAACGCTCCAACTCTTGTCAAAAATGCCTTATCTGGATCACAGAGAAACCAGACAGCCACCAATGACGTCCCAAAAACCAAAACCTTCTCTTTGCCGTCAGCTCCCATCCATTTTTCACCTCCAATCCCATAATAATCATTGATGTACCGCACACTCTGCACAGCAGTTCCTGGCACAGTCAACTGCATACTACGGATACGGCGGAAATTCCTCTCTGTAATTCCCATGCGCACGCATACATTCTTGATATACTCAGCCTTGTCCTCAGGCTTGAATACCCAATCTCCAATGGAACCTTCATAACACAAAGATGCTGTACAAACCACTTCTCCTCACACACACCTCGAACTAACCTTCAAAAAACAGATCCAACATTGTCCTCCTTAAACTCCTAGACAAATGCACTGAGGATCCTTCATCATCTTCCTCAAACTCCATTTCTGCCGACACCACCAACGGCCGTGGAACACACCCCATCAAGGGACTAGCCATCACCGCATCCAAAACAGCCTTTAACGCTTGCTGCGACTCACCCTCTTGTTTTCTCACTTCCTGCACGGATCTCCCACCAGCCAACAGCTTAACCTCATCCATCCACACTTCCATCATGTCAGAATCCGGGCCGACAGCAATCTGCACACCATCGCCTCCACGGACACGATAGATTTTCACCAAACCTACACAAACAACTCTATCTTAACAACAACCAAAACAACAACCTCCAAAGAAGAAAAGAAACAATAACCTTCTTCCTTGCAAGTCACCACTGAGTTTGGCAGCCACAATGGGAATTTCCCACCAATCGAGGTCTTCAAAGCCGCCACACTTGCAGCAACCTCTGTTGAAAAGGCCTCCTTGGCCTGAGCCGTAGCCGCCATCGCCATCGTTCCTGCACTTTCCAGAAATGCCCAATCCTGCTTCATCTGCTCCTCTACAGCAGCACAACACCTCTCAGATCCGGCAGCCTTGTCTTCAATTCACTGGTTGTTGATCTTCAGCTCCTCAACCTGCTTTTGGTTTGCCAACAATGACTGCTCCAACCCAGCTTGCACGGCATCAGTGCAAGCCTGGGTATCAACCACCGGCACCAACGTATGGATTCAAGCCCAACGATCTGCGTCAAACCTCAAAAATTTCTCTGCAAGCTCCCGCACAGCTCCTGGAAACTGCACTATCCTGTCAGCTCCGACACGACGAGCCAACTTTGGCGTAGACGGCCCTGGTACAGCCTCAAACCTCTTCACCACCGGTAACAACGGCAGGCTGAACATGCTCGACGGCGTACTCTGCCCATCATCCTCCAACTCTGCCATCTCTGGAACAGTGACATAATAACATGCGTCAAAAAAGAATCAATAATAAACTGTGACTTCTAAAATACCTTGCTCAATCAAATCCTCCCATTTGCTCATCGTTTTTCTTCCTACTCCCCACAGACAAAAATCCGCACAACCTGGGGATTAAATAAAAATACCTGCAATTACTGCTGTTTGACAACATGGAACCTGCGACATTCAACATCTACAATTAATGCTGATCCACAAATCCTAATTTGCTATCACTAATTACTGCTGCCTCCGCCACTAGCACCCCCATTACAGGGTCACTCTATTACAAAATTTGGCACCCACATTACAGGGTTGCCAATATATGCTAAACAACACTGCACCCCCATTACAGGGTAGCATGTTGTTACAAATTACTACTAGAAAAGTACCCCCATTACAGGGTCACAAATCAAACTACTATCACAAAAAACCGCCAAAACCGCCAAACAAAACACATCACTGGCACCCCCAATACAGGGTTGCCCCTACTTTGCACCCCCATTACAGGGTCGCAGGCACACAGTTGCCTTTCCTGCAAAACATCAGAACAAACTTCATCAACCTCCCAAACTCAACTGAACAAACCACACACAATGGAAAACTCCAACAATTAATTTCTACCCACAAAATCCACGGCAACCACCAACAACTTTCTCCCCAATCTGCCTAACCAAAATCCGCAAAGCAGCTTAAACACAAAACTTGGGAAAAACATCACCAAACCTGAAATCCAACAAAAATCCTAATCCCTCACTTTCTACTTTCACCACAACACCGGGAACCGCACAAAACCAGCATCTTGAGAAACAATGGACTCCCAACAAGCCTCCGTCATGGCGGCCAAACTGGTCCCTGACTGTGGGCTTGACTGTCACGCCATCTATCCGATCAAGCCCAGGGGGGTTTTATCAGGGACCCCTAGAGGTTGCCCAATAGAACCCACACATTTCCGCCACACCTGAAAATGCCACAAACACAAAAACGATAAATATCTCACAACCCTGCTTCCAACCAAAAGAACTTACCTCAAACTCGACCTAGGAAACCAGTTTTCCAGAACTGACTCCGGAATTCCGCAGCACCAAAGATTGTCACTCATCTTGTGATTTGCGCTGCATTCCGTTCTTGAAAGTGTGATCTCCAAATTCCTGAAAGTGAAAATGTTATTATATTGTGCTTTGAATTACACTGTTTGTGGAGACCTGGTCTCGGCCGCAAACAGCCTATTGTGCCTTTCTTTATTTTCTGTGATCTTTCTTTTCTTTGGCTTTGGCTCTTTGGAGCCTCTGACAGGAGCAATGATTAATCATGCATCCAAAACAATTGCAGGGGATCAAATATCCATTCAATTTAGATTCATAGAAAGCGCAGTGATCTTTATTTTATTAAAGAAAAACAAGTGCAGGGGCTCAAATATCCATTCAATTTAGATCCATAGAAAGCACAGTGAATGGATATTTGAGCCCATGCAATTGTTTTGGATGCATGATTAGTCATTGCTCCTATCAGAGGCTCCAAAGAGCCAAAGCCAAAGAAAAGAAAGATCACAGAAAATAAAGAAAGGCACAATAGGCCATTTGCGGCCAAGACCAGGTCTCCTTGAACAGTTTAATTCAAAGCACAATATAATAACAGTTTTCACTTTCAGGAATTTGGAGATCACACTTTCAAAAACCAAACGCAGCGCAAATCACAAGATGAGTGACAATCTTCTGTGCTGCGGAGTTCCGGAGTCAGTTCTGGAAAACTGGTTTCCTAGGTCGAGTTTGAGGTAAGTTTTTTTGGTTGGAAGCAGGGTTGTGAGATATTCATTGTTTTTGTGTTTGTTGCATTTTCAGGTGTGGCAGAAATGTGTGGGTTCTATCGGGCANGATGGTGTGCAGATTGCTGTCGGCCCGGATTCTGACATGATGGAAGTGTGGATGGATGAGGTTAAGCTGTTGGCTGGTGGGAGATCCGTGCAGGAAGTGAGAAAACAAGAGGGTGAGTCGCAGCAAGCGTTAAAGGCTGTTTTGGATGCGGTGATGGCTAGTCCCTTGATGGGGTGTGTTCCACGGCCGTTGGTGGTGTCGGCAGAAATGGAGTTTGAGGAAGATGATGAAGGATCCTCAGTGTATTTGACTAGGAGTTTAAGGAGGACAATGTTGGATCTGTTTTTTGGAGGTTAGTTCGAGGTGTGTGTGAGGAGAAGTGGTTTGTACAGCGTCTTTGTGTTATGAAGGTTCCGTTGGAGATTGGGTATTCAAGCCTGAGGACAAGGCTGAGTATATCAAGAATGTATGCATCCGCATGGGAATTATGGAGAGGAATTTCTGCCGTATCCGTAGTATGCGGTTGACTGTGCCAGGAACTGCTGTGCAGAGTGTGTGGTACATCAATGATTATTATGGGATTGGTGGTGAAAAATGGATGGGAGCTGACGGCAAAGAGAAGGTTTTGGTTCTTGGGACGTCATTGGTGGCTGTCTGGTTTCTCTGTGATCCAGATAAGGCATTTTTGACAAGAGTTGGAGTGTTGGAGGATGTTCCACCAGCGTATGATTTTTGGCACTCGACAGACGGGATGCCATACAAGGTGTATCAGGTTGGTGGAGAAAAAAAAAGGTGTTATATGTTCTCAATTGATGATCTTTTGTGTTTGCAGTATGGTGTAAGCGGATTAAGCGCAGTTGTTGGATCTTCAAAAAGCCAGTGGACGCCTGAAGACGTGCGTTGTTGAGTGTATCAAGATTTGCGCCTGCACAATGATTTCCAATTTACGCAGCTGTGCGTTTGTGAAGGAACTAATGATATCAAGCATATGTGTAACCTGAGGTCTGGGACAAAATATGCAACAATGACGGAATTGTACGCTGCGATGAGGGTGTATTTTGCAAAGCTGGCAGAGATTTTCAAGTGTCCAGTTTTTGCATTGGGCGCTTCTCCTCCAGGGAAGTGGGAAGGAGGCAGGAAAAAATTTTGACGGGATTGGTGTGGGAATCCTGTGTTTCCTTTGATGGAGGAAGATGGATCTGCTGTGTCAATGGAGTCCAGATTGGAGGCGGCGAATATGTGTCAGAGGGTGTTGGCAAAGATGTTGGAGAACAACATTGGTGGCATTATTGGAAAGACGGATACTTGCCCTGGATGGTGGGCTTTGCCTACTCCGTTGAGCTATCTGACAAGATACGTGAAGGTTTCATACTCCTCTTTTTCGTCGTTCGGGCATATCAATCCTCGTGCCTTCATTTGGTTTGCAAGGGATGATGCAACGCCGATTTTGTTTGCGGTGACAATAATGGCAGGTGATCCTTTGAGGGAGACTTTGCTGTGTCCTGGACAAGGACCGATGTGGAAGGATGATGGGACGGCAGTGGAAGGCAAGCCGCCGAATTCAAACCACAGGCATTTTGTTTGGCAATGTTATTGTCCGTGTCTTTTTGATGCTGTGGGAAAGGTGGAGTTTGGAGGAAAGGGTATTAAGGCAAACCTGTTTGATAAGTGAGTTTGAAGTTGTATTTTTTGGAGATGGAGGTGTTGATAGAATGTATTTTGCAGATGTGAGTCACAGTTGGATGGTGTGTATGACGAGACGTTTGCTATAGATTTGGTGGTCTCTGTTACTCGCCAGCGTGGGAAGGATGGTCAATTTGTCCCAGGAGATGTGGTGATAGTAAAGGCAACAGGTGTGGAAAAGGTGGTGGCTGTTGTGCACCAGAAGTCATATTGGGTCGTTGGACTTGGTGGTTGACAGCTGGTGTTGGACAACAAAGTTTGGGAAGCAAAAAGGGTGGTGTAGGAGTTGTTTGATTGGTTGATGATCTCGGTTGTAATGCGTATTGCGGGTATCTGATGTATAGAGATTGGGATGGGAGGTTGGGGGCGGTCGTTGGCATTTTGTTGAGATATGTTCGTTGAGAGGTTGGAGGAGGAGATGTACGGGGTCGGTGATCAATATTTTGTTGAGGCATTTGTTTTGAAAGGATGAGTTTTGGTACGTGAAATACGGGTGTTTGTTCATTTTGTTTACGGTTGGCAAAGAGAATCGTTTGAAGCAGTTTTGGTGTTGATCTTGTTGTTTGAGTCTGTTGGGGTTCCGTCTGGAATTTCTAATGGAATGAGATTTTGTATGGATTAGTTTGTCAGGATGTGAGAAGTGGATGTGCCATCATGGTTGTAGCGGCGGGATGTGAGGACATCAACTGCTTGGATTTTTCCGTCTTGTTTGCTGCGGTGAACATGGACGATGCGGCATAACTTCCATTTGAGGCGGCCCATAAGTGTGTCTTTTTTGAATGCTTTTTGGTTCAAGAGGACAATTTGGCCTTCAAGAGGTTCTAAGTGTTCCAGATGTTTGGGTTGTTTTGTGGAGACAAATTGGCAAAGCGTTGTGATATAACCGTCATAAAATTTTTTCCATAGGGCTCGGATGATGGCAATATGAAATTGTGTTTGTCTGGTAATGCTGTCCCGTGTGGTGTATTCAAGGAACTGGATTGGGTTTGGGCCGTAGCAGTAGGGATCAAAGTCTGGATCTGAGGTGTAATTGGCTTGAGGTGAGTTGATGAACATGGAGGGTGTAATGGCGATTGGATCGTTTTGGTTGGAGGGTAGATATGTTAATGGTCGTGAGTTAATAACGCGTTTGACAAAGGTAATTGCAGCGTTGACTGTGTTGGGGTTAGAGAAGGGGATTCCTTGGAATGAAAGGGCTAGGTGGTTCTTAATCATGCCCATAATGCGTTCATAAAATCCGCCCCACAAGGGGGCACGTGCAGCATTGAAGTGCCATTTGACTCGTTTTGTTGTGATTTTGTCTATTAGTTCCTGTTCATTGGCGCGGAGGAAGCGCAGCCAAGCTGCTCAAAAGGTGGCAGCGTTGTCGGAGACAATGTTGCATGGCTGGAGATCTCGGCGGTTGCAGAAGCTGTGGTAAGCTCCCATAAAGGATTTGAGGTCTAAGGTGTCAACAGGTTCTAAATGAACAGCGCGTGTTAGTGGACAGGTGAATACTCAGATGGAGATATTTTTCTCTGTTGGTGTATTGAAGAGTCCAACAAAATTGATGCTGACTGTTTTGAATGGTCGGTGTCCGGTGTATTGTAATTCTGGTAGAGGGTTGGGGGTTTGTGTAAAAGATGGGTTGTTGAAGCATTTGCACCAGTGATATTCTTTTATGATGTTGCGTATGATGCGTTTGCCCCCCTGTAACCAGTATTCTTTGGTGATTTCTTGTTGGAGTAGCATGGTTGATCCATGTTTGTGTTTGAGATGTTGGCTGCATATGAAGGCACGTAGCAGTGTTGGAGTTTGGTTGTTTTTGGGAACAGGAAGGTGGATGAGGAGTCTTTGGGCTTGGTGAGTTTCAGGAATTGTTGTATTAGTATCCAATGCTTGTTGGCTGATAGATGTGATGAGTTTCTTGTTGGGGTTCCAGCAAAGGTCGGGCCTGTTTTTGATAAGTTGTCCGGATTGTAAGAGATGCCATTTTTTGTGATTGTAATACTTTTGCATTGTGCGGATACCTGCAAGGTGTGAGATTTCAATTTCTTCAGGTTTAAATGGTTGTGTGGTTGTTTGTAAAGTTTTTCCTTTGGGGTTACGTTTGGTAAATTTGGATGTGATTTTCAGGTTTTTGGCACGCTGTTGGATTTGGTGTAGGCCTGCAATGATGCATGTTACTTTGGTCCAGGTGTTGGTGGTTTTGAAGAGTCCAAGTACTATGGAGCATTCTTTTAGATATTGTTCCTTTTTGGAGGATTGCCCCCCAGCTGAAGTGAAGGTTTTCATTGATATTGGTTGTTGTGGCCATGAGGGTGGGTGTGAAAGCCAGGACGGTCCGTTCCACCAGAGGGTGGCGTCTTTTAGAGTGTGGACAGTGCAGCCACGCAATGCAAGGTCTGCGGGATTGTCCTCACTGGGGAGGTGTTTCCACTGGGACAGTTGGGAATGTTTTAGGATTTTTTGCGTTTGCGTGGTTACGTATTTTGTAGGTTTGGATTCGGAATTCTGGATCCAGTTGAGGACAACAGCGGAGTCTGTCCAAAATTGAATTGTGTATGGGCTGGTGTCATAAGCTGTTTTAAGGATGGCGTAGAGGCGGATAGCAAAGGCAGCTGCTGAGAGCTCCAAGCGGTTGATGCGGGGCGATGATAGATTGCGTTTGGGTTCTTCTCGTTGCTTTTTGGGGACAAGTTTTGATTTGCCCCAGAGGAGGGTGGTTGTAAATGGTGTTTTGAGTGTTGTAAAGTAGATTGCAATGCCAAGGGCTTTGCTGCTTGCGTCAGCAAAGATGTGCTTGGATCCTGGTTCAAAGGGTGTAGAAGTGACAAGGCATGGAATGGCAAGGGTGTGGCATTGCAGTGCCTGTTGGGCGATGTCTCGCCAAATTGTTGTTTCTTCAGGTGTGAGAGGGGTGTCCCATGATGTGTTAGGATGGGCGTCAGTGTATGTTTGACGTTGTATTTTGATATGTGCCGTAAATGGTGCAACAATGCCAAGGATGTCAAAAAGTCTGGCTTCAAAGCCAGCTATGTGCCTGTATGTAAGGGTTTTGAGGGCGAGAAATTTTTGGAGAGAAGCCTCTGAAGATGCAATTAGGTCAGTGATGGGGTCGTATGGTACTCCGAGGACTTTGTAGGTGCTGTTGTTAGGGTTGTCTGGTTGTGGTGAGATTTTTTGCTTTGTGAGTTGAAAGGCCCCTGAGGCCAGTGCTTTTTGGGCATGGTGAAGTTTTGTTTGTATTTCCTCTGGAGTTGTACCGGTGACAAAGATATCATCAATGTAAGTGTTGTCATTGAGCTCTTCTTGTTTGGCAGGAGTGAGGATGTTGTTTTTTAATGCTTGAAGGTATAGGTAGCGGACGGCAGCGTTGAGAATGAATGGGGCACAATTAATGACCCAGGGGAGGCGTAGGAATCTATAGTAAGTAGGTTGGTATTTGCCGTTAGGTTGTTTTGTGGGCCAGCATATTGTGAGTACCCATTGATCTTCTTCAGCGAGTTGTACTTGGACAAATGCTTTTTTGATGTCAGCGGTTCCAAAGTACGGTGTAAACCGCCAGCGTAGTAAGATTTTGATGATTTTGGGTAAGAGGTTTGTACCGGAGATGAAGAGTTGATTACAGGAATATTTGCCTTTGTCTGATGCATTGCCAGCCATGACAACGCGTAGAGGTGTACTGGGGCTTTTGGGGCAGGCAACACCGTGGTGGGGTAGTTCGGTGTATGCAGTTCCATGATTTTGGAGTTCTTCAAGTGTGGTTTCTTTGATGATGCCGTCTTCAATCCATTGATGAAAGAATTTGGTGTATGCTTTTGCCAAAGGTCCGCCTTTTTATAAAAGTCGGATGATGGATTTGCTGCATGTAGAAGCAGTGATTGCGCTTGGTGTGCAATAGTTGGGGTACAGGTGTGATTTGAGAAGTGGCGCTACAATGGGGCCTTGTGGGCTGATGGTGATTTTTTGGAGGTATTGCAGGTATTGTTTGTCCTGATATGGATGGAGTTCATTGTCATCCCCAAGTATGTTCACATAATCCTGGTGTAGGTACTTGATGATTGTGTTGGAGAGTTCATCATCAAATGTATTATTGGGTTGGCCAAGTGTGAGATGGCTGCAATAGGATGTAGTGTATGTGGGTGAGGAGGCTTCCCAGATGCCTCTGGCAACAAGTCCTAATTGTGTTGTTATAATTTGAATGGTTGAGTTATTCCAATATGAATCTGTGTATGGAGCGTGTATTTGTACCAGATTCTTGCCCCCCAGGATGATGTCAAATTCAATTTTGGATGCTGTGATGAGGCGTGGATCGGCAAGGAGACTTCGGAATTCATTGAGGTGTTGGAGGTTGTGTGGGTTTTCTGCTGTCCAGGGTTTGTGAAGAGGTGCAACAATGGAGGTTGTGAAGATAGAGAAGTCTTTGTGACGGTGTTGTACGTGAAGTTGGGTAATTGTGTTAGTTGTGATTGTTGCATTTCCAATTCCTGAGATTGTGTGTGTGATATCTCCTTCTTTTGTTGGTAGACAGAGGAGGTTGACAAGGTGTTGTGTTATCATCATGAGTTGAGAGCCAGAGTCAAGGAGGGCGTAGACGGGTTCTTCATGTGGAAAAAGGCATATTGCAGCAGTCTCAAGGAGGGAATATGCGGATGACATGAAAGTGGAACAGGAACGTGCTAGTCATGCGGGAGCGGCTGCAGGTGCAGCTGGTTGAGCTGCAGGTGGTGGTGCTGGTTGGGCTGCAGGTGCGGCTTGGGCTGGTAGGCAAGAGTGGATCTCTTGTACAAGCTGGGTGAGGTTGACTCAATTATTTTGTTGTTGTGGCTGGTTATTTTGTTGTTGGTTTTGATTGTTTTGATTGTGGAGCCATGGGTTGTTGTATTGACGGTTATTGTATTGTGGACGGTTGTTGTAAGGAGGACGGTTGTTATTTTGTGGGCCGTTATTGTAATTTCCACGGGATGGTGGGTTGGGGCATAAGTTATGATAATTGTTTTGATGAATGTATGATGATGGAGGATGATTGTTGTTGCGTTTGTTATTGGATTTTCTGCAGAGTGCGGTGTGGTGTTTGCCGGCGCAGTTGCAACATCTGCCAATGCTCTGGCATTGCGTGGAATGATGTTGAGAGCTGAGACAGTTGTAGCAGAGTTGCTGATTGTTTGTAGCTGTGATTCTATCTTCAGTGGTGAGTCTGCAGTTAGTTGATGTGTGTGCAGCATTGCAAAAGGGGCAATTGTAGCCGTATTGTTGATTGTTGGATGTTTGTTGTTCTCTGGCTGATGTATAGGTGGATTGGCAAGATCAACGATGTGGTGATCTGGAGCGGCTGCGGGATTGACGACGGTGTCGTTGGGTTGGTGTTCTGGATCATTGTCGAGATGGTGATGAGCATTGTCGTTGGTTGTGGTTGGGTGATTTGGAGTGTCTGGATCATCTGGAGCGGTTGGAGGTGTCAGCGCGGTTATTTTGCTCCTTGGATGTATCTTTGTTTTTGGTTGATGATGAGGAGGGTCGAGTAAGGAATGTAAGCGTGTTAACGGTGGCCGTAGCAGGGTCATCAGACCAAAGGTATGTTTTGATCCATTTGTATCTATTTTCAGGATATTCGTTCCATGTGTTGGTGTTGGCAGGGTCATTTTGTTGGTGACATCGCATTTCTAAGCGGACATTGGTCCAATGCCCAGCTTGGTGTAAGAAGGACTTGATGTGAGGCCAAAAACGGGTATGAACCGGTGGCATATTAGTTTGTAGATTGTGTAATTGCTCGGTTATTGCAATGATGTCTTCAAGGTAGTCAGCAAGTGCGTTAGGTGTGTTTGTGGTTGGTTTGAGGTCCGTAAATTGGTTGTAGAGGGCGAGACAAGGAGATTGAATGTTGCCATATTGTTGGTATAATGTGCAGAGTATGCGGAGATAGTCTTCTTCTGTTGTCTTGTCTTTGTGGCGGTCAATAATGTTGAATGCGTGGTCACTGAGATGGCAGAGGAGCAGTTGAATACGTTTGGTGGGTGTGATGTAGTCGCGTGGAAGGATGTGTACATTTTTAAAATGTGACCAGAGGTGTTTGAATGTGTAGGTTCTGTTTGGTAGTCCAGAAAACTGTTTGAAATTTGGAAGTGCTGAACGTTTTTCATAATTGGTGATGTATTTTTCAGATGTCTGGGAGGGTTGAGTTCTGGTGGCGTAACTGAGGACAGCAGATGGATATGGATCGGCATCTTCTTCCGTTTCAAGTGTGCTGATGACACTGGGTTGAAATACATCTAATGTAGGTGGGTTGCTGAGTTGAGGAAGCGGTTGCTGTTGTTGTCTTTGGAGCAAAGGTGGGTTTTGCAGCATAGGTTGAGGCGCGGAGGAGGCGTTGATAGGTACTGGGTTAGTTTGTAAGACGGGAAATTGGACTCCAAGGATGTAATGTTGCATGGGTCGTAATGTAAGCCAATTTGTGTGTAGTTGGTCAGGGGTGTGGAGTGCAACAGTGTTGAGTTCCCATTGAAGTTTTTGTATTTGTTGGGCTTCTTGGATGTCGCAGTTTGTTGTAGGTAAATTGAGGATGTATGCTGAAGCGGAAATAAGGGAGTGGTGGATTCGGCAAAAGGATGATTGTGTGTTGGGGGTTGCTGATTGTGTATACATTCTATCTCCTAGGACCATGGCTTGAGCGATTGTGAGGAGGCATTTCGTGGTTTGGCGGATGCTGTGGTATGGTTGTTGTGAAGCAGATGTGGAGGACATGTCGTCAGTGCAAATGGAAGGAGATTGTGGTGGTGTGGAGGATTGTTGTTGTAATGGCAGTTGACCAGGGCGATGTGTGGTTCCACGGCGTGGATTGGATGTAGATGGAACGTTGAGGGCATCAGAGGATGGAATTTTGCCAATTGGAGGTGTGTGGTGTGATATGCCGGAGGTGCGTGTAATTGAATTGGAGGATAACGGTCCGTGGTGTGGCATGGTGCTGGATTTTTTAATGATTGTGGATAGGTAGCAAGTTTGTTGGATTGGAAAGGTAGCACTGTGGGGTTCATATAATGATGTAATGCAGGAATTGAGTTTTTTGGAGTGGTTTGTAGGAGGTCACTGGAAATTGAAAGGTGAGCACTTGGAAATTGGGTTGATGAGGCACTTGTGCACTTGGAGATGAGATTTTGGGTTTTTTTTTAACTTTGCCAGAAGTGTTCTTCACACACTTACTGGCCACCAGTTTTGTCAGAGGCTCCATGCAAAGAGCCAAAGCCAAAGAAAAGAAAGATTACGGAAATAAAGAAAGGCACAATAGGCCGTTTGCGGCCTAGACCAGGTCTCCTGGAACAGTGTAATTCAAAGCACAATATAATAACAGTTTTCACTTTCAGGAATTTGGAGATCACACTTTCAAAAACCAAACGCAGCGCGAATCACAAGATGAGTGACGATCTTCGGTGCTGCGGAGTTCTGGAGTCAGTTCTGGAAAACTGGTTTCCTAGGTTGAGTTTGAGGTAAGTTCTTTTGGTTGGAAGCAGGGTTGTGAGATATTTATCATTTTTGTGTTTGTGGCATTTTCAGGTGTGGCGGAAATGTGTGGGTTCTATCGGGCGACCTCTAGGGGTTGTAAGGGACAGATGGCCCTGATAGCTCCCGTTATTAGAGTTCTAGCAATAATTTTTTTCTTTCATCAGAAATAGGAAAGAAATGCCATGAAAATTTTGCTCCAAAATTCCTTCATAAACTTTTTCCCCATAGCAACAGCTATCTATTCAACAATTTGTATCGATGAGTTAATATCCGGTCGAAGTTGAAAGAAGAAAATGACAGAATGTGTTTCTTGAACGAAGATTTCTCGGCTCTCTTTTTTCCCATGAATAATCGGATATAAATTGAATGCGCATGAACATGAATATAAAGTCTAATACCACAGCAGCCTCTTCTCATCTCGGCTTATTCAAAATTTTAAATTTCTTTCTTCAATGAATGTATGCCTGGGAAATTCTGATGATTTCATTACCATCCCTCCCCCCATATTTTGAGTAACTTGGCTGCAATGAGGAAAAATAAAATAAAAGTCGCTCTTAGGATTGTTACCCTTAAAGACAGATGAGCAGGAACAACATTCAATTGGAATTCAGTCTGGTATCGGATTAAACCCAACACCAAGGGGTTCCTCCGCTTCTCGCTATACATGTTCCTTTGAAGCCATTTGAAGCAGTAAAAGTGCAGCAGCATCAGAGTTAATTAAAACGAGGCACATTCTGTGCTTATACGTCAAGGTGTCCGGGCCAAACAAAATTGAAAACCGCCCGTGTTCCCAGAGCATATTACGGGGGCGTGATCCTCTTCCATGGGATGAAAAATAGGGCGACCAAATGCTCCCTGCGTTATTATTCGCCGCGGATGTAATGATCCGTCGCGCGTTTCTTCTTCTTCTTCTTCTTCTTCTTTTACCACATGCGAGGTATATGCACATGCGCATGCATGTTTTTCCGCATGGCATGTGATATGGTGTTGGGATGCGTGCTGGAGGAGGCGAGGATTAAACGGCCGGTGATCCGTTTTCTGATGGGGAGGGAAAACGACCTATCGCCATGAGAGGTTCGGGAGGTTCCTGCATTGTTGCATAGCGTGGGGGTGCGGATCTGCTGGAAAACACTTTCTGGTACAGGTGGTACATTGCAATTCAACCTTCCGCAATTTAACAATCCCAAAATTTGGATGGTCAAATTTGCAGGAAGATTGACTTGCAATTTGACCCTTGCCCCTCAATTCAACCTGCTTTGGCCATTTTTTCAGGTTTTAGCTTTGATATTTTTTGAATTTCATGAAGTCTCTTTTGCAATTCAACCCTAGTTTGGCAACTGACTATAGGGACAAATTGAGAAGTACCACCTGTACAGTACAGGTGGTACCTTGCAATTCAACCTTCCGCAATACAACAATGCCAAAATTTGACAGTCAAATTTTCAGGAAGATTGACTTGCAATATGACCCTTGCCCCTCAATTCAACCTGCTTTGGCTATTTTTTTCAGGTTTTAGCTTTGATAATTTTTGAATTTCATGAAGTCTCTTGCAATTCAACCCTAGTTTGGCAACTGACTGGAGTCAAATTGAGAAGTACCACCTGTACAGTACAGATGGTACCTCACACTTATTTGAACCTAATCTGTTGATGGACTAAGGTTGAATTGCAAGACAATCTCAAATGGCATGTTTTCTACATGGCATTTGATGCTTCATGTCTCTCCACATGTTGAATTTCGCAGCAGAGGTTGAAACTGAATGTTGACCTCCAAGTAAATTCAACCATCAAATTGTGGGTGGGTTGAATTGTGGGAGGTCAAGTTGTGAGGTACCACCTGTATATGGTAAAATTTTCATAAAATCAACTCTCAGGGACGTGGGAAAACATTTTTTGCAACAAAATACAGGTAGACTCTATCTTTGCAATGATCTTGTTCACAACATTTTTCTCAAGATAAAAAATTATATTTGGTCCAAAAATATTCTCTTTCCTTGTTGAAAGCATTTTCAAAAACATAATTCCCTATACAAATTGTTATGGTCCCAAAAATTTCTTTTAGAGAGAGAGTCTGCCTTTATTGGATGCAGAGTCTTGAGGCCAATGGTAAAAAAAAAATTGAGACTGAAATGGGTGATGAATGCTGTGAAGAGCTTCTACAGTACAACACATAATTTAAATCCTGTCAGACCCTTTCCCATTGATGATATTAAGAGGAAAAACTTTGTATATACACCTGGATTTTGATAACTCAAACGGGTCAAACCTCCCTAAGTCAAATATCTCTAAGCCTATTGTTTTCAATTTGCAACCTGAATTATTCCCATAGGAAGAATTCCTTCAAATAACCCAACTAACTCAAAGCATTTCCCTTCAAATCTTCATAACTTGAATTTCTTGGAGGCCTTTTGACTATTCTTCTATTGACACAGGAGAGAGAAAAGCAATTAATACAAATTCAATTTGATTTAAGAAGCAATTCAAGACCCAGAATATCACCACTTGCAATTTCCTGTCATTCATCTTTAATTTCTCAACAAAAATAGCATTGTTACCTAACTCCAACACTAACTAACTTGAATTTATTGATGGTCCGTTTATGTTCAGACTGAAGAGGTTTGAGTGTAATAAATTATGTTCATAGGAATTTTAAAAAAATGTTTACAACACATATGTTTATAACAAGAGTCAGTGTAAAAATAATTCATTTTGCATAAAGATGGTGTTTAAAAAGGACTGGATATAAATGTGTACTGCATACATGTGTTAACAAACATATTATCCCTCTCTCTATCTCTCTCTCTATCTCTCTCTCTCTCTCTCTCTCTTCTTGCATGCGCACATACAACTAAATTATTCCAACCAGTTATTTTTTTATATCAAAAAGTGCATTTTCGAATTAAATTACAGTATACTGTATAGTTGATTAGATGATTATTGCTCATGGTCAGCTGGAGACTAACAAATAAAATGTTGATGCTTTTTATTTTCCAGAAAATGAAACTTGTACCCATTCAACGATTTCTCTTTGTTTGAACTTTCTTTTTTCAAACCCCAGTTCATTTCCTTTTTCAAATCGGTATACCCCTGCTTTCCAACCTAATGTTTTTAAAAGAAACAAATTTCTTGGGGCATTCAGGAGAATGCACAACATGCTGATTACAAATGCAAAACTTAAAATCGTTTTTTGCAGTTGGATGACCATGTTTTTTCACACCCCACGCGTCAAGGCATCTAGGCTCAGTAAAGCACCAACTGTTTTCATGCCCCGAGGAAAATGAAAAAAAATAGATTATTGCCTTTTTTAGTGGAAGATGGATGTCACGAAGTAATTTCTTTTTGAATAATAGGGTCGGCTGTTCATTTATAAAAAATATATTAGACAGTTCAGAGCAGGCATAAAAACGAGCGTAATCTCAGAATCAATCTTGAGAACTGCACGCAGAGAAACTTAATATTCCTACCTTATTTATATAATCCAGACATCGAGAATAATTTGTCCGGTGAAATTTAAAAAGAAAAGCACACATTAAAAACAATTGAAATTACTTCTTGGTGCTTTCGGAAGTAAAAAGCATTCGGTATATTCCGAGGGTTTTTTATTTTATTTTAAAATAATATAAGCTTTTTGAAGTTCAGTTCTTCAATAAGGGGCATAAAAAGAAAATAAAAATACATCAGGCGCGACTGTTATTTTTTAAGAGAACCCATTAGCAATTAACAAGACCAATTTGAAGCAGGACGAGTACACAAATAATAAAAATGGAAGAAATAGAAATATAACTCCAGCATTCGGGATCGACTCGAAATTTCTTTTCTTCTTTTTTTGGACACGAATTCCAGCAACAAAACACGCAATCGCAGTAGCACAACGTTCTCAAGCGTTTGACACAACGAGCGCAAAACAATACGTTTTAGAAGTTGGTTAAAATTGGACTTCGAAAAACGAAACATTCCAGCAGCAGGAGCAAAAATCACACGGTTGAATCTACGCCGAAACACGGATGGGGCGCGACATCTGCCAAAGCTTTAGACAACCAAAATCAACGCATATCGACTATCATTCCTCACCGAGGCCACTAATTTGTACATTTCTCCTCAATTAAAAACTGGATACCGTAATTTATACAGGAATTCCCGGTTTTCGCTTGTGGCTCGGATCAATGATCCCGATATTCATGTACAGTACAGGACAGTGACATTGTACAATTCTTTTTGGCAGGAGAGAAAAATAGCACAAAACCCTCGCACAAAATCTGATGAACGTGTTCAATCCTTGGAGCACCAACACCGCGTCAATAACAGAAATTCGATAACTAAAAGTTTACAGAGGCATCTAAGATTCTAACAGGATTTTGATCACATGTGCATTTGGGAAGGATTTCAAAGCGCGATTTTGATTCAAAATTAACCCACGAAAAAGCCACCAACACTCGCAATTGCAAAATCATTCATAATTCTGGGTTGAGTCTAGATCTTTAGAAAATATCTTGAATAATGAAAGCTTCTTTTCTACCTCATTAACCCAGTGCTAGCAGTTTTGGGTCACACTATAGATTCAGCACTGTACATCGAAAAACTATTTTCAATCAAATTTCGAACACGGTTTGACTCAAGCATAAATCGTCCAACGAACAAATCGCATCATTATAAGCATCACTGAAGCACTTATTGACAGTATATTACTGCAGTAATAGATAAGAACCGACTTTTTTGCAGAGATGGACAAATTTTCTCCAAGATTCTTCTAGAAAATGGATTACAGTAGTTCCAAGAAATAGTCGCGATTAATTTTCAAGTCCCAACCCGATTTTCGGCGGGAATCTGGGGGAAAATCATGTAGTCCACAAGAATTGTCAAGAGAAAAAAAAATTGGGTCTATGTTGCGGTAAAACGTCGCTAATTTTTCCTTTTTACATGCTGATTAATGAATGCAATCTGAGACTGACTCCTCTTTCTGATCCATAATTTGAAGTGGACGTGACTTTGAAACTTTCGCGAATATCTCTTTGAACTGATACACTATCAATAGACCACACAACTGGAGCATAATTTGGCCGAAAAAGAGATTTGACTGTTTTGCGCACTGCAGTCCAGTATTATTCATGATAGGCCGCACTACCTTAATTTTAGTCCTACTGAATATAGAAAAGTGGAGAATAATCTGTCGAATACAGTTCTTTTCGGTTCAAAAAGTCTTTCCTCCCTACGCTTGCACGGTATCTACTTTCTCAGTTCTATAAGATTCCAAATTAGTTGAGTGACGTCACATAGTTTTGGTTGCGAAATGTGGTCAGAAAATCTTGTCTGGCTGGAATACAGCACTTCGAATGAGATGAAGAGGGTTCTTGCGAACGAAGGATTTCGAGTGACTAAAAATGAAAGCATTTCTATAGTTGGGATCAGTTACTGGCTGTCTTCTACAACGATCGGGTCGATACATTGGCAGACCTCTCGGAAAATATCGTCAATGTCCCCATGACAGTTCACCTGCAAGAAAAAAGGAGTAAATGTATAAGCGGGATAAATGGATGTATTTCAAAAATATAATTTATTTTAATTTTTTAACATTTGGAAATGAAAACTGATTCAACAGAATCATAATAAGAAAGAGGACTTAATCTCTTTCGGAAGAGCATAAAAAAATCTTTCTCGATGCAGCGTTTGGGGATTTTATATGCAAATCAAGTCCAGTTAGAAACCGGGTTAATTTTTTCAGTGATTAATTTCCGTGATTAAAAGATTATGATGGATTAATCCTACAAGACTTCGGTCTCGATGATGTGCGATACGTCAGCGAAAATTTCTTCAATATCTCGTTCAGCATTCACCTGATATTGGGAAGAAAAATCACAAGTTCGTCGTTCAAAGTTTATTCAATTCTTATTTCCATTTGCGTTAGAGAGAAAAAGCAATGCTGTCAAAATATTAAAAAGCATAATATGTTGGTGAATATTCAAAAAAAAATACTCGCCATTGAAATGAGTTACATTTTTAAAACGAATTCACTCAACAGAAGTCTTGTTTTTAGAAATATTTTTCGAATTCCTTCCATCAAAATTAGTCTTGAAGATTTTCGGTGGGATATTTGACTAAATTTTGTTGGATTAACGAATAGAAATCAATTTGTGACCAATAAAAGACTGTTTATTTATCAAAGATGATCAATCATAGGTGACCACGAAGAAAATTGTTTACATTGAATTTTTATTATGTTTCCAGGAACTAAAATTTCTAAAACTGTATCCCCAATTTAAAAACCTTGACTTTGCAAATCAGACCAAGAGAGGTTTGAACCAAAACTTTTTTTTTTCGTTAAAGAGGTTTAAAGTGCATTGGACTTGAGGGATTTAATCCGAAGGGATCAACTGGAAATTTAAATAACGGAGGTTTTGACTGAAAGAGGCTCGGTTTAATTGACGAAGTTTGACTGTAAAATCTTTCGATCATTTCTTTTTCAAGAATTCTTCGGATTCAAAATTTAGAAATTTAGAAATTTGGACTAATAAAAATCCCCATTTTTATTTTTAATAGTTGCAACGATAAAATGAATTCTCGCAGTTGAATTAAATATAAAAATGAAGCGTTGCTAATTTTTTCAACATAGACGGCAAAATAGTCAGAATAAGTGCAGGTAAAATTTAGATATTAGAAATTTGGACTAGACCTTGCGGACTTTATCCGGGTAGGCGTCGACCACGGGTTTGGTCTGGTCGTGGAACGTAATCAAGCGTTTTCGGATCGTTTGAAGTAACAGTAGGCGTGCTGGGCTTCAGAGTCGAGCAAAGTCGTCGGCGACCCAGTACTGGACCAGGCTGTGAAGCTTCATGTCCTACTGGAAGCGGCCAGCCTAGATGGTTTGTGTATATGGCATCGATAAAAATTATCATGCTGGATATCAGAATAATTTTCAAGTGAAATCAGCACTCGATTAATCAACTGGACGGATTGACCTGGCGAATTCGTGAAGCTGATTCATTAAAGTTCGACGCAATCATGCTTGAATAAGCTTGCTTGGCGACGCTAAAGTTATCCATGCTACCTATTTAAGCTTAGTTTTACGTTCAAAGATACTGAATAAGTCCTTTTTAAGCAACTTTAAAGTCACAGAATATTGTATTCGTCTACATGGACTACATCGACATGAAAAATGAGATCACATTTAGAGTTTAATCCCCATTTTTATTTTTGATAATTGCAACGATAAAACTAATTCTCACAGTTTAAAATTATTCCTAAAAGTTAAGCGTTGTTCATTTTTTTTAACATAGACGGCAAAATAGTCGGAATGCGTGCAGGTAAAATTTACAATGTGCAGAGAAAACACAATTCCTCCAGGGACTTTATTTACCTTGGCAACATTCCCATTATTTCGGCATCAAAATTGTTTCCTTTGAGACGAAAACCCAAAATCAGGTGATATACTTTTTCACGTGAAATCGTTGAACTGATAGTTCACTAAAATTTTAATTGTACAAAGGTATATTGAATCTGGAAGCTAGATAAACATTTTAGAAGCACTTTTTTATTTCAGCGGACTGATCCTTCATCAGAAAAATATGTTCTCATTAAAAGATATGCTCGTAAATAAACGACTTAGAGAGAATCCCTTGGGATGAAATGTTTCCTATAAAAAACAAACCTGTTTTTCAAATTCTTTCGCTTGGTCCACTTCTCTAGGATATCCATCGATGAGAAATCCATTAGCTTTCGGGTGCTTCTCCATAGCATTTCTAAGCAGAGTCATCACAGTGTCCTGCAAAACGGTGAGCACAGGGAATTTTCACAAGGTATGAACAAAACTTTACACATTCAATATCAGAATTCATAGCTGTCATCTCAAAGATTGAAATCTAGATCAGAACGCACTGAAAATGTGTCTTTTTGTGCCCAAAACTCAAGGTCAAATGTGCGCATATGATTTGAATATTCATCAGGTGGACTCTCTCTCTACGAAGAAATTTTCTGTACAACGAATGTGTTTCCGATTTGCTGAATTTCATTCACAATTCAATCTACAACGGAGAATTTCATTTTACAGGACCGACGTGGGAAGAGTATTAGAGATCAAACACAATAATTGTGACCACACGTAAATTCATCAATAATCATTTGCAAAATCAATTTTCGTTTCAAAAATGAAATGAAAAACCGACAGAAGTGCAGATGAAGAGCACCAGTGTAACCTTCTGGAATTTTAAATGACACGGTAATGTGATTGATTTCTCTTGTCTGAACGAAACGAAACATCCCACCTAAATTATTTTCATTATATGAACAGAATTTGCTTTTCCATGGTCATTCGGGCGACATCTACCCAAAGTTTTGCAAAACTATGTCAGTAATCGAATGGAAACAATCCTTCCGCTTTCTCACAAGGTGCCTACTTTCATTTCACGACTCGAATTTCAAAAAGAACAATGTCACCATAGCCCTTCTGTATATTATATAACAGATTACAGGTGAACTCACTCTAGTCTCAGATTTTCTCCATACACTATGTAACTAATTTGCATTTGATCCCATAGGGTCGTCCTCTTCCCATATTACAGGGTTTCTCTGAAAAGCAAGTTTCGCCGCGATTATAGTCTGGTCCCTTGAATTTCGTTGTAGAGAGTCTATCTGTATAGGCTATGAAAATAAAATTTCACAATAGGCGGTGGTTCGCTCGAATTAAGGGACCAGCAACACGTAAAATGAGTGGATAGTCAATTACCACAGTATGTTGTACATTATTGTACTCGAGGAAATTAGTTCGTCTTTTGTCTAGCTCTTCATATAAAACATAATAGAAGTATGGACAGGAGAATGGGGATTCCACAGGAAGCACTTTCAAGCTCGAAAGCATGCAATGAATATGTTGAAAATTTCTCCAGGTATATATATGAATGAACAGAACACTTTATTTGCCGCTTTTCAGCATTACCCAACTTCACGTACAACACCGTCACAAAGACTTCTCTATCTTAGCTTTTCAGCATTCACAAGGTTCAATCAAGATTTCCACCCACAAACCCCCTTCCCACCCAACCCAAATCCACTCAATGACATTTTAATCACTTCATAGCAGGAAAGCACAAATTGTTAACAAAAATAAAAGGAAATACAATACAACATGAAATACAACTGGACATCTGGCATGTATGCATACACCCATTCATTCCCAGACATTGGCAACAAAACATATGTAAACATAAATTTAAAGCACAAGGGCTTCAGCTTGTTTCTGTATGAGGTTCAGTTGAATGAACAAATTAAAGAGAATCTTTGATGAGAAATCATATAAAGCCAACAGTTTATCTTGATCATTTAAGATTTCAGAAAGGGTCTTTTCATTGAATTCCATTACTTGTAAATATTTCTTAAGCTTGTTTTTATCAGTATGAAATGCTGGTATATATAAATTTGAAATGCTGGTATATATAAATTTGAAATGCTGGTATATATAAATTTGAAATGCTGGTATATATAAATTTGAAATGCTGGTATATATAAATTTGAAATGCTGGTACTGTATATATAAATATATACATTTTATGTATCTACTGCGTATACAGAGGAAAGAAGCAAATCACTCACGATAGGCACCAGTTGACCCTCTTTCATGATCTCCTCGAGCCGCTTGCCCAGCTCGGACCCCCCGCTGACCTCTTCGCGGAGCAGGTCACCCGTCGACAGGTGGACGAAGCCATACTTCTCCTTCAGCTTCTCGCACTGAGTGCCTTTGCCGGACCCCGGGCCACCTGGCCAATATAAACCGACGCCAGAAAAAAATAGCAATAACGATGTACCAATAATATCAATCGGTGATCAACCATTGAATCCATCCCTCGACTTGGCTGCATTTATACAAGCTCAAATATAATACGAAGACTGAGACAAAGACAAGAATGGTCTCTCGACATTTCTGCGGAGTCACCCGAAAAACGGCTTTAAAAGACAACGAAGGCGAAATGATTTATAGCAATTTTTCCTAAAACCAAGAACTTCGGTAATCCTTAAAAATGAGCAACGACGATAAATAATTCTAGCATATATTGGAACCATACTCATCATACAGTACAGGTATTTTCATGAATTCTGAAGCTTCCGCGGTTCAGCAATGGGCTTAACTTTAATTTGAAATAATGCTGATTCCCAAAACCTTTTCAACTCGCAAAGGCATTCCTTCATCATCTTGTTAAATCTATAGCAACAGCCGAAACATTTATTCTTTGGTTTTGCGCTCAGAAGATTTAAAATGGAAATTATTGCTTCAATAACTTGCGATATTTAGAAGATTTCGGCATAGATTCAACAATATTTGCATCGCGGGTAGCTTAATTTTGAACACTTTCCATTTTTGCTCTTTATAACGGTTCAAGATCACCAAGCGTTGAAAAATTAGCGCATGCATGTGCCAAATTCTCCCCAGGACCTCTGCTTTGAAAATATTCATTTGATGATCATGTGGCCATGACAGTTAAAAAAAATTAAGAATAAGTTCATCACGGTTAATCCATGTAATGTGCAGGTTGAAAAAGTTTGGCTTAAATTTGGTCCCGAGCTAACATTCAACCTCTGGTTAGTAATATTTCATGCAGGCTTGCACGTCGGAATTCATTTTGAACGCCCCTCCATTATTTAAGTAAACAACGCGACTTTCTGCCAGAAAAAAATTAAAAAGGCGTGTCTTGCTTTCGTGCAAACCGAGGAGATGAAAATATTACTGTTTAAACAACAATTCCATCCTCGAGCGCAACAGAAAGAGAGAACCATCACTTTGTTTCAATGCGAAACTCAGCTTCTAAGTTTTAAAAATAATTTTTTTGTGCGGCTCGGATGAAAGTAGATCTGAAAAAAAAAATTGTTAGTTGTTTTTACGAATTTTCATCATTAACATAATTTACTTGAAATATTTTTGAATTGTATGCAGCACCAAGTGTCTGACAGCAAATCACTGTACTTACCCAGGACAAATACGATCGGCGCGGAGGAACCACCCTTTCTCTTTCCTAGACAATTTCCCTGATGAAAAAGCGAAAAATAATTTGGTTAAAGGATGAATCATTCAAAACACAGGTATTAGAATAATACGCAAATATCCCTGTCCTTAAATTCGCTCGCACGGAAAGCTGGTGTGGAGAAAGATCGCAAAAATATTGATCGAAAAGCAGCTTTCGAGGCAGAGGAGATAAATACAGTACATTATTGATTTCCACTTCTCTGCATTGTTGTCGCTTCTCTGAGAGCTCATCGAAGAAAAGAAAAACACTACAGCATTTCGGATTTGTTAACTTCTCTTCACCATTTCAACTACCTAATTTTTTTTTAAATCTATTTTTAGAAAACCATTGAGAGTTAGGTCAGGGGGGAACGTGACGACCTTCACGCGAACTTCGACAAGAAAATTCGTGAGTGCTAAAACTGCTAATGCTTCCTTTTCTCTTGAACTCTCATTCTGAAAATGCGATCTTATTTTGTTCTTTCTATTTTTTCGTCAGCAGTTCAAACGACCGATCTTCAGTGCCAAAAAATGCTTCGCTAGACCACGCGGAAGTGTTATTTTTAAAACGCGCACCACGCATTTGCACAACGAATTCGGATTTTTCTACGATTCATTTGACATACATCGGTCATTTTTATCTACTGTACTGAAATATGACTGAAATTTTCAATTTTTAAGAAATCTTGTGTAAATAGAAAGAGGTGTTATTGAATATGAAACCTCTTAAATTGAATACTCCTCAAATATAGGTACTCAGCTTACATTTTCTCAACATAAAGTGGAAAGCTTTTCAAGAAATCTTCAATTCATCCAAGCACTCTAGATGGAATATGATTTATTTCTTAGTCGAAGAAACTGGGCATCAAAAGAACTATTTCAAAAGCTAATGTGAAAAAACCCCAGTCTGCAAAAATACGAAAGCAAGTACAGTATTACTTTGTATGTGCAGAAATTTAGAATAACCGTATCTTCTGATTGGCCTTTGTCTTGAGTTATTTAATACAGTACCGAGGAAGTGTCAAAACTGCATAAATGACGAACACTAAATCTGGTAAAATGTAAATACTATGAGGAAAATCGATTGAAAATCCCTGCTCTACAATGGAGAAATGCTCCATTGACTGTATAAACAACCGTTAGATGTCGCATGTACGCTTAAATCTGACACACGCATATAAATCTGAATGTATATGCCCCAATAAGTGGGGAAATAGGCACACACTGGGGATATGTCTGTAATTCTACACAGTGATCCTGCTGTGAACCTGAAGTGTACCAAAGTTCTTCTTTTGCACATGTATATACATCCCTAATGTGCACCAATTATGTGTTCACACCAGGATTACTCCAGGTCACATTTGTAAAAAAATTAAGTACACTAAGGTTACAGATGGTGCATTTGTGTGATACTCCTGTTATGTCACATTTGTGCACCAAATGTAGCCCTGGAATGGTAGCAAAATTTCATCTACAGAGGTGCATGTAACATTGGGGTCTTATGGGGTACTTGTGGTCAACACTGGGGTCACACTTGGTCAACACCCCAGTGTGTTTCTTATCGAGGAGTGAGTCCGCGTACTATGGGATGTTCAAATGTAACGACGTACCTTGGTCTTACAGAATAGACCATGGGAAACGAATAATGCAGGATTGTCCAGTATATACGTATAGGGGCTCTCACCATATCTCAGAAATGATGAGCTTTTCTGGAGGAGGATCTAGCTAGCTACCGGTTACGTCCGCCAATCACGGAACCGGGCCATTAGCCACGAGGAACAGCACGCGCGAAAAAGACGAACAGATTGAGCGAAGTGGGTGGGGAGATTAACCGAGATTACAGGATCAAGGATTTATACAATTTGCCGACCCCAGGGTCGCGTTCCAGCAGAGAGACATCGGCAGCGTCGAAAGTCGATGATCGATCTCCGCGTAATGGAGCGTGAAACTTGCAACGGTTTTCTATCAAGTATATTGTAAATTAATGCGTGCACTATGAGCTTGTAGCGGACGTAAATGCAAGGTCAACCTTTCTTTAGCACACTGAGGGTCACAGTTGCCTCACTTCAACTTTGAACGTCATCAAAAACGAGAAACTGGTTCTACAGTGACAAGTGGTTGTGGTGCTTCCGTCCCTCTTCACTTAACCATAGCGCATAGTACTTTAATTCAACTGCTATCGGCTGAAAGTTCTTCTGTTGACCGAAAACTTTAGTTTACGGGCATTACTAGTATTATCTTTTTTTTACTGATGATCAGTTACAGTAAATTATAACGGAAGCAAGCGACATCGAAAAAATACTGTCTGATATACACATACGCGTGAGTCTCAATTCAGAAGTGAGACTTCCATGAAGCCTCGAAAACGATTCGTAGCGTATTTGTTTTATAAGAATGGTAACACAGATGTCGCTGCCGACCCAATTCCATTCGATTTTTCTTGATTCTTTCACAAATCCCAATGATGTTGAGACACTTCGTTCTTCCATGCCAATAACATGCCGAAACGTGGACGTTTGTAGTACAATATTTGAAATTATGTTTTACACGGTTATTTCAATAAACAGACGTAAGCGGGAGCAGAACAATAGTGACACCTACAGAAATTACTTTTTGTGTTTGCGGTCTTGAATTATCCGTTGCTTCGAGTTGCGCTGTGGTGTGCGTTAAAATTTGGGGTTTTAACGGCACAGCATAAAATAATTCTTCGTTCTTTTTGTAGATGTCATATTGCAGTATTCACTATACGCTTGCCTGACTCCAGCGCGAAGTTCACTATATAGGGCGGTATATAGTGTTCGTAAGTACTGTAAGCTGTTCACTTGACGCGATCGAAGTATCGAATGCTGCTGGTGCTGCTGGATCGGTCTCTGCGCGTCCAATATTTCATTCTTATCATTATGTACGGAAAATCAATTCAACTCAATTAATGTGCTTACCTCATCAGACGCCATATTGGACGGAAGCCGGAGCAAATCGGTGCAAACCGTCTTGCTTTGCATTTAACTTGTGTCTACCGGACATAGTGTTAAAAAAAAGAAAAGAAGATTAATTTACTAGTGGTCTGAGCAAAGACGTCGCGAGTCTCCTGCGCAGTGTTAGTGTTAACAACGATAAAATATCCATGCAACAAAAAATCATAAGATGAACACGATTTACGCTTGATCAAACTAAATATATATATTTACTGATGCGTAAAGATCATCCGAGAAGTCATGCAGAGATATATGATTTAGTTTCAGGAAGGCAACCAAGACATATATAAGCTCAAGCGGGACAATTTGTAGTCTCATTCTGACAATATCCCACAGGGTTCATTAGCGAAAGGAGTCCTGAGTGAACGACACTTTCACAGCTAGTTTATGCACTCATGCAGAACACACGGAAATAGCATTTCATCAACCGCTTGTAAGCAGAAGCAGACGACTGGTTCGCGTGATATTACCACTATAATGCAGGCCAAGGGCACCCTGGCGAAACGGTGGAACATATTCTGTCTACATAGAATAGCACACTGCTCAGGACTTGATGGTGTCGGTGATGGTCGTGATCCGCAGACCGCCAGTTCGCTTCTGTCCGCCCGCCACACGCGAGCATGCGTCGACTTACTCTCTTGCCAGCAAATACGTGGGGATGTAGCCTTGTGCTCTGTGATGATGCGCGTGGATTCCGCGCTCTTTGCTGATCACTTCAGAGTAGGTCATGCTTCTATACTGTCATGGTCTCGCACGTTTGGACGCTAGCACAAAGATTTGCAGTGAGACCCCCCAGATGAGGACGTAATTGGTGCTTCCAGAGTGTCCCTAAGCCAAGTCTTGTTTTCCCATAGACTTACATTATATAATTTTTAATTGGTGTTCTATGAAAGAAATATTCTTCAAAATTCCATGAAAAAATTGTTTGCCACTTGAATCTGATTCAGTGAATATATTTTCAACTCAATAAGAACATTTGGAGCATTGAAAAGTGTATCTCTGTACTGTACATTGAAATGCTGGCATCTACAAAAATAAAATTCAAGTCACAAAGAGAGAAGGAAGTCCCTCTATGCAATAGGTAATTTTTCTAAATTAGCTGAATGGATGGGAGAAATGACAAAGAATTTTTCTTGCGTAAATCTTAGGGTTGGAAAGATTTGTTTCTTGCAATCAATAAGCCTTGTGAAAGTCAATTTTTATTTATTTATTGGCACTTTTATGATGCAATGTTCTCATGTTGAGTCAGTGTCTGTATGTCGTCAGGCCTTTCTTGTGCCCTTTTTACTGAAAAAAAGTCTTCATGTTGAATTGTCCCCATGTTGAGGTGTCTGCATGTGGGGGTCTCACTGTATTTTCCTTTGTTTCAAGTACATTAATTGGTTGATACATTTAACTCAGAGTTTATCCAACCTTTTTGTGTCTGTGGACTGGAAAATTTTGAAAAAAAAAAAATCTGGGCACCAGCAAAGTTTAAAAAAATATTTTGAAGACAAAGAATGTTTTTAAAGACTTTTTAGCACATATTTGAAAGGTTTCTAATTTTCTGCCCAAGTTAATTTAAGAACCAATGAAACAGCTTTAGTGGAATTTCATCAACAAATTATAAGATATGGGTTAATTGAAGAAAGTTTTTCAGAATGAAAAATTGAAATATACAGTTGAACCTTGCAAAGTCAAACCTCCCTCAATCAAATACCTCCCTCTAAGTCAAATTTTTTGAGTTCCCATCTGAATTTCCTTAGAAGAATGCATTAAAACCTCCAAAATTTAAATTTTTGAGGCCTTTAGATTTTTATTTTATTGAAACAGGGAAAAAAACAATAAAAAATTGAGTTTGATGTGCTTTGACAGAATCTGGCAGATTAAACGGGGCAAATGAACCCCTGTCTCCAAGTTAAGTGCCCTGACAACTCATTTTAGAAGCAACTTAAGGCCAAGAATATCACAATGTAAAATTTAATGCAATTCTTCAATGTTTCCCACTACATAAATGCTTGATTCTAGAAGCCAAAAATTTACAATTCTAAATACTGTAACTCAAAACATCTCCAAGTCAAAACCTGCCAAAGTTGAATTTTTTGCTGTTTCAACTGTATTTCATTTCAGCTGGTGAAAAATTGTCAAGTGTTTTTAGGAGAGAAGCCAACTTTTATTTTTCATCATATTAGTTCAAATATATGTCATTGTCTTTGTGAAATTTCAGATAAAGATAACAGACTTCAATGCAACTTTTCATAAATTTATTATGCTGAAGAAAATTTCCCATGGACCAGCAAAAAAGTCTACATGCTGACCAATAATGGCAGCCCACAGACTGCAGGTTGGGGAACATTGTTCTACATGTATTCAGATCCAGACTAGGTCTAGACCAGGGGTTTCCATGTGTAGCTGGCCACATTGCAAGGTGGAGACTCTTTATATGGGCCATAAGGTAACATTTGTAAGAATCAATCCCCATGTATTCAGAGATTGTCAAAAAATGGACTAAAACTCCTCAATGATTGAGGCAATCCATTTGAGGGAATGTTCAATTGGTACTTTCCTGTTATCTCAGTACCCATTTTTCTTTGTCTTGTGAATTCAGTATTTGTTAAGATAGGTTAGGTCAGGTTATGTTAATTGAAAGATATTTGTAACTAACATAACCTGACCTAACCTAACTTCACCTATCCNGTTTTTTATGCTAATCACTAAAAATGGGGTGCGTATCTTACTGTGCGATAAAATTGTATTTACAAAAATTAACTCAAAACTACCATGGTGCTCAATTAAGGCTATGTACACAGTACTCAGGTGAATATGGCATGCTAAATAAATAAATAAACAAATAAGAATCTACTCATCACCTCTGCATCTGTACATTAATTTCCACCCACTGCTTGCATGATGGGGTTCTCCACGTACCAGCGGGTGTAGTGCACCGCTGGTCGAGAAGCCCTGACGTAGTGCACCGGGGGCCTGGCGCAACCTCAGGGAACCCAAGCGGAAGAAGGGGAAGCAGCCAATGAGGGACCGTGGGAAAGTGCGCCCTATCTGCAGCGGCGCAGATATAATGAAACAAAGCCTGCCTTCAGCAGTTCCCTACTTGCACCCGGAGAGTGAACAACAGTTTACATTCCTTTACGTTTGTGCCATCTGATCTCAGCAGAGCAGCCCTTGGAAGGACTCCGCAGGGAATTTAGTGTGCCTCAGTAGATATGGCTTGACTTCTTATTACAGTAGCACTGATGCATTTAATGACCAAGTGTGATGTACAGTGGTGAATCGGTTGTGGTACAAATTGGATTGGTTCTGTAATACTGTATCCGCCGGAGCTTTTGTCCCGCGCATTTACGCGTTTTGGCTGCTGGCGAAATGCCAGCCAGAACTTCCGCCCAGGATATACAAAATCCTCATCATTCGAAAAAATAAGGGTAAAATTTTTCACTGAGCAAGTTGAGACACAATTTTTATTTTAAACATTTTGGTGTCTTTAAATTCTTCGTATACAGGACTTGAATATTTCTAAAAACATTGACAAAACAAATCTATGGTAATTTTTTAAAGAATACGTTTTATTTTTTTTAGCTATTCACGCAATTTTTCATATCAATGCATGACTACAAATAAAAATTTGTGGATGTCAGCTAGAGAATGTAGAATGCACCTAAGTCAGAATTTATTTTTAAAACTGTTTTTTGTGAAATGCTTGAATTCTTGCCTCTTGATTACAATACAGTATGTGAAAAGTATAAAGAAACCTTCATAGATGAAAAATTGAATTTTTGGTTGAAGGCATGGGCACAGTGCTTTCATGGGCCAAATTGTGAGGCTTTTTTTTTTTTTACACACTTCTGAGTCCTCCTGCTAATTTTTTTTTAACAAACCCAGGTCCTTCGGCTGGACAGCATGTTTTTCTGAAAAAACAAAATCAGTAAGATTATGAATTCTGCTTGGATGAGGCAGTTGGTCAGGTCAATTGTGAATTTTTTTCAATTTTAAACTAGGAGGGTGTTTTGTCTGTATCCATTTGAATTATAATACTGTCAAGTTCCGTACTGTACTTAGTTGACACTCATTTCCTCTCTCTCTCTATTTGTATCTTCATAGGAAAAAAAAACGTTTTCCAGACAAAGGGATAATTTTATGTTACAGAAACAATCTGAACGGAGGGAGGGTCTGTTCATGGATAATACGGTTGAGAGAACAATTCTTCTAAGATCTATAACAAGCTGTATTGTCTAAGATTTTTTCCATTCTTCTATAATACTGTATTCAGAGAGAGAGAGAGAGAGAGAGAG